ATTTTTTGGGAACGGGTTCTGTTGTGGAAGATATACCCTTGACTCAAGGGAAAAAGGTCAATTGAAAGCGCTGTACCTCTTGTAGAGGTATACAACCTCTGTTCTTCCAGAACCCACGCGTGGACACTCGGCCTTTTCAACCTTCAAAGACTCTGCAAAAGGGCGTGCTCGCTTTTCTGGACATGCCCTCCCCACCAAATTCTAACCAGGCCGGGACCCACGCTCGGCTTCACCCTGCATTCTGCATCGCCCTGGCAGTGTCATTCAACCCAACCCTGCGGCTGGTGCGAACGAGGAAAATGGCCAGACGTCACTCAGTGTCTCTTTCCTTGTCCCACGTGACGTCATTCCAAAGGGCTGCAAGCTTCCGCGACAAGTCACGGGTGCAGTGGATGGTTTAGCGGCGTTCGACTTAAAGACACTGGCGATTCGGGTGGACCCCATTTTGGGCTTGCTTTCTTCCTTCCGATTTAGAGACTTCCCGGATGTCTCGCAGAAAACCCGGCAGGCCAGCCGCAAAGTTCGAGACATCGCTGAACTTTTGGCAGAAGCCTTGTATCTCCTCCATGAATTGATGGTCCTGGCCCAGTACCAAAAAAGCCCGACGACACCCTCTTACCCTGCGATGGACAGCAGAATTCAGGGGGATTCATGTCCACGACTTGTGTGGTGGTACCCGGCAACACCCTACTATGCGATCCCTAGGGCCATGCGAAAATGAGTGTCCCCTGGTGGGAAATGAATAGATCATAGGCTACTAAACTTTGGGAACCTTTATGGTGATCGGCCCAAATCTTAATCGAAGCTTGATGACCATCCCTAACTTGCGGAGCTGGATTTCGCGTTGAGACATTTTGATTCCGCCACCACGATCAATCAAGAAGTGTGCTAAAAGCCAACCCCCCCCCCCCTCCAAGACCATTGGCAAGACATGATGCCCAAAGGCCAACCCCGTTCGGCATCAAACCGAGATTGATTTGACCCGCGCTGTTTACTGGCTGATTCTCAATAGGAATGAGGGAATGACCCCTATGAAGCATTCTTGTAGTTTCCTTTCGGGGATCCCCTTCCAGTTCGTGTTCAAATCCCTTGGTGGGCGTATCTTGGAGCATACTTGGAGATACATGTTGTGCTCAAACTTTTCGTTCGGGCAATACGTTTCCCGTGGGTTCCAAACTGCAACGCTCTGTGTGCATCGTCCTTCCACTTCAAGTCCCCGCAGGCGCGGAACTCGTGGAAGAAATGCTGCCTGGTGGGCGCGTTGCATCGAGCACACACACACACACAACAACAACAACAAAAAAGACGAGACCGGGGGGGGGGGGGTCCCGAGACAGCAGACGTTGGTTTGCGATTTGCAGGTTGCTTTTGTTGGACGGGTGTGTTTACTTTTTGGGGGATTGGCTTCTTGCATGTGTGTGTGTGTGTGTGCGCATGTTTTCTTTGTTGTGTTTGGATTGCTTCTTGTGCTTGCACTACGTTGGACCCTCTAAGCAATTAAATAAACCGCGCTCCGCCCGTGCGCTAGCCAGGCCTCTCGTCTGTTCCAAGGAGGCCCCGCAACTCCACCTCGCAAGCACCCAAGAGCCACGGATCCCCAAAGGTGGCAACATTTGTCGTTTGAGGGTTGGATCAGATCTGCATCTAAATCCCCGAGCCTTCCTTTTCGCTCCTCGAAGAAAACCCTACAAAGTTAGCGAGCCAGTTTTGGCTCTGGCAGAAGCAACCCTTGGAAGAATCCGTCGTGCTGCGCGAGACCACTGGTTTGGGGTCTTCGTCAGATGTGCGTCTACCATCAACTCTGAAATGTTCTGACCAGGGCACAGCTTTCAGCGTTGGCCCGCATACATGAGTCGCTGGTGTCACAAGGCCCTGATCCCCGTCGGAACAGTTGGGGAGAGACACATGCCAAAGTTCAGTATAAGATCATGTGTGACACTGGGACACGTCCATTTGAGTCTCGACCAAAACTTGGTAGGGAAAAAAGTTACCCAAAACCATACAACTTACGAGGACAGAAAGACGCATCTATCGATTGGTGGGACGGATCCCCATCTCTAAGTGTCATCTACCCAAAGCGGTTTCGACTTTGGCAAGTTTGGGGAATGCGGTTGACCTTAGCGCCTACGTAATGTGATGCACATGACCTGGGTGCATCTTTGGATAGCACACGCTTTGGACTGTGAAAAAGGGAAGCCAAAGCGAAACCTGCATTTTGGAGGTTCCCCCATTGGCGCCACAAAAATGTGTGCAGAATGCCTGCAATGGACATGGGAAACTTTGATCTCAGTGAGTCCCCCTGAGTTGTGGTTGAAGTCTAGCGAGTCCCCGACCCCCGTCCGGTATCCCCCAAAGATTGGCCATAGACTAGGCACTGATTTAGGTGGCAGGCCTTCATGGCCCTCCGCCCTTATAATGGTCGTCAAGAGCAAGAGAGCGAGAGAGCGAGAGAGCGAGAGAGCGAGAGAGCGAGAGAGCGAGAGAGCGAGAGAGAGAGAGCGAGAGAGAGAGAGACAAAGAGAGAGAGAGAGAGAGAGAGAGAGAGAGAGTGTGGCTGGATTCTACAACGAACCTCATTTGGGGACTCCAAAATCAAGCCTGGCATCTGTATCTGGCCATGCTAGCTCATTGCCCCGGCACCTCCAGCTGGTCGCCGTCGCACAGCCGCAGCAGCTGCGGGCCTGCTGTCCACAACCAACCGTTCCCTACATGAATAACAAACAATATCGCCACCAAAAGCAAATAGAGGACTACCCAAAACCGACATGTCCAATGCCCCCTTCACCGAGCACGTAAAATCTAGAGTATCTAAGACACTTTCAGCTCCCCAAACCACTAGCCATAAGGGAGATGGGAAACATATCTATATGAATATGTATATATATATATATAGAGAGAGAGAGAGAACTGTGTAACAAATGTATGCATGTCTATATATATATATAACTGATGTGCATACAGCCACCACGTAGGGGTGATATACCCCATTTTGTCCCTCGCGGGAAGCGGTCGTCTTTTGGGGTAGTGGCTTGGGTCGTCTTTCTCCCCAGCCAGGCTCTGCGCCCACGGGCCACTGCCCCCTTTCGGGTGGCTGTTGGAAGGAAATAGGAAACCATCGGAAGCCTTGGTTCGCATGATGGAGGTTCACGTGAAAATCGGCACTGGGCAAATCCTCGCAAAATCTGCCCTCAATTCCTGGCAGGTCAACCCACTGGGAGGGGGTTGGGCCGGCAAGACTTCTTTCGTACCCTTGCAGCAGCTGTCTAAAGTTGCTACCAAAGTGTCCACCATCCTTACCCCGAGTAAGGCTGAAATGGTTTCAGCATCATGCAACCATTGAGTGGTCCAACCATGAAAACACTCACATCCATTTAGATGTGTCTTCTTTCGAGGGTACCCTCTTTTTTGTGGTGTTCAATGAACACCAAAAGGACCCCCTTTCATTGAGGTCCAAGTCCCACAAAACGCGCCCACTTGGCTCCGAAGGTCCCCTCGGCTGGGCGGCCGGGCGGAAGATCACGCAGAAGGAGTTGCCCTCCGAGGAGCAATCGCAGGTGAGGAAGCTCAGCGGCAGCTCCTCGAACAGATTTTTGGGCACGAGCTCAGGGATCCCGGGGGCGAAGTCGGTGGGGTCCGATTTAGGATTTTGAGACGAACTCATTTAAGGCATTGGCCAATTCAAACTTCACTCGCAAACCCTGCGATCCTCTGAACCCTGGATCTCATTGCCACCGCCCCAAACAGATTTTCACCCCAAGCCCATTGCCTTAGATCCCGGGTGCGCTTGTTGAAACGGCATAGGGAAGCATGCTGAGCTTGCTTGAAACGTACCTCGACAGAGGGAGTCCTTTGTTGCCTTGCTAAGTCACATCGCGCAAATGACTGACCAAGTGCTGCCAAGAGGAACTTACTACCTAACTTAGGCTATTCAGGCTCAGCCTGGGCTATGGCTGTTTGGTAGGTGGAAATGTTGGGGAATCCAACCGCCTCACCAGGCACTCCCAAGATCACAGCGGTCAAATGCAAAAAGCAGCCCACCCAAAACCCCTGAGTGGCCTCCAGGCGGATCGCCTCATAGGGAACATCCAGCGAGAGCCTGGAGCGGCCGGAGCCCGGCAGGCCAGTCTAAAGGGGCTGCAGGCCCCAAACAAACTTGAGGGTGAACCAGCTTTTAGGCATTCAGTGTGTGTGTGTGTGTGCGATCTGCTTCAGAGCATGGGCGGAGCTGCTGCCGCTGAAGAAGCTGAATGAAGCACTGAGGTTGGCATCCAGCTTCAGCATGACTAGAATTTTGCCGCTTGAGACTGCTTACCATCTACTGAAAAGGTCCTAGCAGAGTCACCGGGAGCAGTGACTGCCTGCCAAACCCCGCTCCGATCCGGAGAAAGCCAAATGAGCTTGGGCGTGGGCACGAATCTGAGTGAAACTGCGGGCTCACTTGTATCCAGGGAAGTGAGGCAATGATCACAATGAACACATCTTGATTCTCAAGCTGGTAAGGATGATTCTGAGACAAATGACACCAATTGAACAATCCTGATTGTTTCTCAAACAGCTGGTGAGGGGTCTTATATATATATATATATTGTATGTATACACATATCCCAACCCCGCCACCCCCCGGACGAGCGAGTCGTTTGCGATCTCTGGGGCTGCTTGCCCCATCCGCGACATGTGCGGGGAGGAATTCTGCTTGCCATCCCGCAGGAGCCGCACGCGCCACATGCGCACCTGGCGGAAACTCGCCACTCTGACATCCGAGACTTGAAGAAAGCACTCAGTCATGGAAAGCAAGGATGCTTGGCAGAAATTGGGACACGCCTTCGAATTGAATTGGGTGAATTAAATCTCATTTACACTACGTAGCAAGTTCACGCAATTACAAGGATTGAAAAAAGTGGTCATGATTAGTGGGTTTCTGGAGTGGGTAGATCGAATCAATCCCACTAATCAACAATCCACAGCTTTGCTTTCTGTACTTATGGACGAGTCCATGGACGCCAGGATTCTTTATTTCTTGCTTTTGTTCCGCCAACTGATTTTATCAGGGTGGCAGCCCTGGCTGCAGCTTAGAACGCATCCGCAAACATACTCAGCTAGAAGCACTTTGCTTTTGGTGATTGGACATCTTGTTGCGAAGTACTGGATTTACATTTAATCGAATTGTAACATGTTTCTAACGCTGTGCAGGTTTACCAATCCTGCAGGTTTCTCCGACTTCTGGTAGAAGCAACGATGGAGTACAGAGGCCGCTCGATAATTCTCATGAACCCAGGTCGCACCAACCAAAACGGCCAACAGGGTTTGAGCGTCTGCTAAATTGACGAACATTCTATAATTAGTAGCAACAATTTATGTCGGCTTCTCAAGATGAGAAACAAATGCACGCAACACATCAGCCTGCAGCGCATGCGTGGGCTGAAATCGGTTACCTCAGCCCGTCGAAACCACGAAAGCCTTCCCAAATGGGTGCTTTTCTGGCGTTTGGTTAGAGTGTGTTTCCCCACTTCGACTTGGCCAAACAGTAGGCAAAGGTTGGAAGCTCATCCAAACCAGAGGATAACCTGACTTGAAACAGGCTAGCAAAAGCTTTGGTTATTGAGGCCGCGGCAATTGGGCATGATGGTCCACGTGGGCAAGTGGCAACCAGCCAAAAGCTCCATGGGACAGACCTCAACACGAGCAACGTCCAGAGAGGAATCTTCCAAAGGCGAAAAACACTGCACACGGCACCAAGCCAGCCAGATCAGGTGTCTTGCTTCTCTTCTTGGCAGGGTTTCAGGCATCACCGCTTGGAAAAGTCTTTCGAGAAATGAGTGGTTCCTGTCGTGGCAGATTGGATACCTCTGGGGAATCCTCTTTGTGTGGTTTCCATTTTTGGGCCATTCTCTACAACAACTGCACTCAACCCCCTCTATTCTTGCAGGTCGGACATTTGGGCGTGCTTTTGTTGAGGGTTTCATCAGCAGCCTTCCAGACACCGGTAGCTGGGGTATGGGCACCCTCGCAGGGGAAGATGACAAAGTCCGGCTCCTCTGCGTCCTCGAATCGAATCGGTCAAATTCGAATCGGTGCCACATCCCAACAAGCGGATCCAAAAAATGGATCACTCACTTGCGCACGTTTTAGGTTGGCCACTAATGACTAAACTGGTCTTCCCAAAACGTGTGAAGACCAGAAACTTGCAACGTAACATCCGAAAAATGAGCACCAAATTAGCATCACTATAGAGGTTAAGCAGCCTATTGGATTGGTCCGCTGGGTGTTTGCTGAAATCTACATGTTTGAAGGCCTGACTGTGACAATCCCGGCACTTGCTTCAGGAGTCTGCCCCTCTTTGCAACCTTCAAGATCACCAGCCGAAAGGCTTGCCAAAAGGCGATGTATTTTAACCTGAAAGGGAAACAAAAGATCCCTGGTAAGTGACCTGGGCTACAAACCCATGTCATTTTGGAGCGAATTGTTTTCGAACTGAGCTTGCTGGGCTTGCTTGCCTCTCAAAGCCCCTTTTTCCAATGACAAGGATACACGAAGGTTCTCCTACAGCACCGTACGGCTTTTGAAGGCAAGTTGGGTGGGCACCCCATGTCCTCCCCAACTATTAAGAGACCACCTGGCATGTTGTCAGTTACTCATACGCTTTTGAAGCTGTCCAATTAGCAATCTCCCGCAAAATAAACATCTCGCCTCAAACCCACGGACTGTGGGTTCAACTAGCGTGTTTATAGAGGCTTATGCAGGTTCTGCCATAACCCCAATTAAACCGAGTAGTAGCACCACCTACTAAAATCACATGAAGCTCCGCCCGGTCCATGTCCCCCTTGCCATCGTTGGGCGTGGAAGTCCTCGGCTGCCGCACATGGCATGGACCCCATGGCTTCTTCTCGGATGTTGGCTTCAAACCCCATGGATCCCGAAACGAATTTTCGGAGGGTTTGCTATATGTCCAAAATAGATGTTCAAAGCCACCAAAAAGGGCAATATAATAGGACTGACTCAAGTGGGATGAGCGTTCCTTGCCAAATGGATAAGCACCCGCATTGCCCACGTGTGCGGGAGTTGGATGTGTGTCAAAACACGCTCGGATTCGAACCCTCCAAATTGTTTGCTGAGTTGTTGGTTTCCACTCAAAGCAGCTCACAGGGAAGCCAATTTCTGAGGTTTGAGTCGGCATTGGGGCCAAAAAAAATCCCCTGCACGCCAAAGCGCCAACCATATGACCATCGGACAATACTTATTGCTGATACACAAGCACCTGGGAAAATTCGAGGCTTTGGTGGTTGACAGTTAGTGAGTTCTCCGATGTCCCTCCCACATGCAAATGTTCACCGAACATTCCCTGACCAAAGCGCCAAACTTGCCATATCGCCCGGGCACAGGATGCAGGTGTCGCCCATGCGAGCACCGCCCAAGCTCCGCCTCAGTCGATGTGTTTTCGGATCAGCTCAGTCGAGAACGGCTCATTTGAGTGGAAAATCAACAGGTAAAGTGAAGTGGCATTTGCCTGGAAACAAAGACTTGCCAAACGTTTTCCAGGGGCAAGTAAGTCCCAATCAAAACCTAGTCAACAGTCAAGGGGTCTACTCAAAAGCAAGTACAGAATCGAGAGGGCGGAAAGCCCAAGCTATTTTGGCTGCAAGTGTCTGTTAACCTTCACTTGCCTGGGTTTTGATTGTGGCTCATTTGACCTCTTTTAAATGGAAGGGGACCGAAGGGGCTCTTCAAGTAGTCTTCAACCCTCCAGCCTCATCCGAGTCAATATCATAAGCTGAATGTTTCCGAGACGCCATGCCTTCCAAAATTTGACCAAAGGGTGATGTGTGCCCAACCCAAAAAAGAAAGTATGAGTCATGATCAAGACCTGGGTACTTTCAAGGGGCCAGACCAAACCCTATGGGGAAAGCGTTCTGCACAAATGTCTGGCAGGTGTTCATTTGGGCTAGTCTGAGCAGCCACCCCCCCCCCCTTTTTCGGAAAAATTGGTGGAGAGTAACAAACCCTGAGAAAAAGAACGGAAAGCTTTTGGCAGCCCATGTCCTTCCCTCTGGACCCAATATCCTCGCTCAGGCCGGGCGCCGGACAACTTCGGGCTCAGCAGCTGCCGCCGCAGCAGCACCGTTTTCGTCCTACACAATTCCCGGCATCAAAATGACCCTCTGTGTGGCAGTTTCCCTTGGACCACCCCAAAAGTAAGTTTGAGAGGCCCTGAAAATGTTGATTTCAGGCCGGGGACTGGTCACTTCCCTTCAGGTGAGATGCAAATGAAGCGCATGCCGCCAGACCCTTTCTTTCTTTCCGCGTGCATCCCGCAGGTGACTCCAAAGCAGCAGCTTCATGTTCTGGGCGCTCCCGTCCTTCCTTTGTGGGTGACAGAAACACCTTCCGGCATTTCTCAAAATAGGACTTCAAATGCCACATGGGAAGCTCCGCGCACGTCAGCTTGGCTCAGCTGCCAAGATCGGCCACGCCGGTGGCTGCCGCGGCAACGGTACCTGGTGGCCTGCCCCCGCAAAAGCAAAGGAACCCAAGCATGTACTTCCCCACAGAATGATCAAACGACACTCTCTGGACTACTCACATTGTAGGATGGTAAATGAAAGGCCCATGATCGCTGCGTGGCAAAACGGTGCGTTGAACGAGATGATAGGACCCAAGCCCGTGGCGAGAAACAGATTGATGGTTCTGGGTTCTGCCAACAATCTGATAAAGTGGAGAGCTATGGGCCCTGGTTTCCCCACCTCCAGCAGGCCAGGCCGCGCAGAAAGCATAGTTCTCCTTCCCCGGGAAGGAGCATGGCGTCACGCCTCGAAATGTGCCAAACGAGGGCCGCTGGATTTCCTGAAAAGTTGCAACAGATCACAAATGTTAAAGGTCCAACCAAAGCAAATTACGGGGACCGCTGAAAGATGTCAATACACCGACATGCTGGACGGAACAAAGCCAACCTACCACCTTTCCTTCCCTGGTTGACCTGTAACCCAAAGAGGGGCCCAAACAAATATTATGAGAATGATGTTTTGTTGGATTCCATGTTAATCTGCAGCAGCCAAGGAGAACGCTACTTTAGGAACCACCCAAATAAGGTCGGTTGAACCCCTTCCATTTATGATGCCGTCCTGCAGATTCACGTGGAAGACTGTATATACGGGTATCATGTCAGCCATCTTCTTGTTTCTCCAAGAAGACGTGGGAAATGAAGGACTCGTCCCCTGATCTTTGTGGGGAAATTTGGAGGAAGCTCCACATGTTGCTCTCAAATGGATAAACAAATCCCGACATTTTGACCGAAGCTACGACTGACCAGCCTCAAACACCTCCGTAGACTGGAATTTTTCACCAAACCACCTAGGCCCGTGTTTGTGTCTTACCCCTTTTTGGGGTTGTTTCGGGAAACCAAACGGAGACCAACCAGTTTTGGGGCACACGTCGATTTTGACCCAGACCTCAAGACCACCCACCCACCAGCCCCCGCCCCGCCCAGCTCCACGCGGTCGAAGCCCCGCAGCGCGGCGCTGCGGCACGCGCCGATCGCCACCGACGCGCCCAGCGCAGCCAGCTGCTGGGAGGTCTCCTCGGCCTGGCAAGGGCACGGCCCCGTGACGTCTCACTGCTGTCACCTGACTGGATGTTGAAACAACCCGGAGGAAAAACGCAAAAGGCAAACATAAGTTCCCCTTCTGGTCGGAGTTCCCTTGTCCCAGAACACCGGCTCCTTTGCCGCTTGTTGCAGCTCCAACCTTTCCCAAGGACGTTTCAAACAACATCAACTAACCCAAAACCAAAAAAACAATGACGGCTTTCGGCTTTCCAACAGGTAGGGCCGGGCGAAGCACTTTGACAACACCCCGCCTCTGGCAACACATAGCCAGTGAAGAAGGCTGGCGCCTTAGGGCCATTCGCCCAGCGCTCCAGGGCGGCCTCCACGGTATCCCCGTGTAGAATGTACCCTTAATAGCCTTTACCCTTGTTGGATGTGGCCAGCAACAGCACTCTTTGTTTTGCACATTCCATGGCAATGGTATGGTATATTTCTGGGGGGTCATTGTTTTTCCTCATTCTCAACCATCAATCTGTTCAAACACCCGCCCCGCATATGATCTGTTGGTTGTGCAGGGGGAAGACCGACTCTAAATAACGCCCCGTGGTTTGGCCCAACTCGCCTGCCACTCGCGCCTGTACTCCCGCACTGCGGTGCCGGCATTGAGCGCCACCACCAGATCCACAGCTTCCTCCGGCTGGTCCTGCCACAGGCCTTTCCGGTGTTGGAAGAGGCACTGGCCCCGCCGACGAATGCCCACTGCACACGAAGGCACCTGCCCGTTTGGAGTGCGGGCCGCTCCAGGGGAGCGGGTCCAAGGGGGGACTGGGGAGCCTGAAGCCCAGGCGCCCCTCTAACACATGTGCAGTGTTGGGTTTCTCGCGTTGACACTGACGAGGTTGCTGGGATCCATGGCTCTTGGGAAGGGAGGACAAAAGCAGCTCCCCTTAAACCGGGAACTGGCACCAAATCAAAAAACATATGTAAAGAATACAATTGTCAAAATGCAAGTCCCTGTTAAACCCACTTTCTCAGCGGCAGCTCCGTGTCTATCCCCTGTCCATCCCACGCCGCGCCTCCGGGCCACAGAAGATCACCCGCAGCCGAAGGTGCAAAGACGTGGCCGAGGCTTCGTCCGTGTCCTTTGGCTAATGTTTTACTACAGGATGCCTAGTGTTTTCCATTTGGTTTCATTTTAAGCCAACATGAGAAGGGTACCCTCCAAAAACACACACACACAGGGCCAAAACTCCTGCGCCAACATCGCAAGCAGGGCGGCATAGCCTGACTGCGCATCCACTGTCAGATGCTGGGCCAAGCGTTGTCTATGTGCCCTGGTCAGACGCTCTGAGCGAGCTACGTCTGCGTCACAGCAAGTCTGCAACGGAAGCGGCGCTTGAACAGCGAATGTTGTGCCTCAGGCTCTGCACAGCAAAATGCTCGATCCATCTCCAATCGTTGAGGTGGGCCAAAGCACGTGGGTTGAAACACCTCAGCGAAGCCATGTTAGTGGCCGCCCAAGAAGCTGCTCAAGTCCGGCACGAACCCCTACGAAGGGGATTCCGGAATCATCACAGCGCCTGCCCACAGCCACGGCGCAAGAGTTCTGTGGCTGATTGAAATTGCTGCGCAACTGATTGCAGCAGACTACCGTTTAGCGCTTGCGGGGATGGCTGCACGCTTGTTGGCCAGTTGCTTGATTGTCAACATGGAGAGGATGGCCCCATCAGACGATGCCTGCTTGGGCCGCTCCGTGCCTGATGCAGTCGGCCTAAATTGCACAGGCATCTGCAGCATGGTGCGGATGCTCGGAGTTGCCTTGACGTGCTCAAGGCCATCCTGCGGCAAGCACCAAATACTGTTGCGCCAGCCTGCAGCGTGGCGTGCGTGCACGGACTGGCTTCTGACAGGCAGAAAGCTACGCTCCTCCGGCTGCAAATGTAAGATGCCGTGACATTGACAAGCTAGGAAGTTACGCAAGGTGGTCCCGATCGCACCAGGCGGGATTGCTCCGAAAACAGACTCACTGAGTCTCCCAAAGTCTCACATCGATCCCAGTGTCCGCATACAAACCTCGAGAGGTGGGCATGAACGGTTTCACCTGGCAGGAACTCAAGCCGAAGAGACCCCTGTTTTCTGTTTATTATAAATATATGTATATGTATATATATATATATACATACATATATTTGGTGAGCCCCCGTGGCTTGTGTAGGATTCTTAGAAAGTCCTCCGGTTTTTGTGATTGAAATCCATCTGAATTTCATATTTCAAAACACTTCTCCCCCATTTGTTTCCACCCCAACTTCCCAGGATTTGACCTTGCCTGAACAAAGGATCCCTGGTTTCTGCACTCGGAGACAAACAGTGATATGTCAAACCACCACAGGATATGCCCCGCGAAAGCGCCATGGCCATCCCTTGACCTCACTAACCATAGGGCTACCGCCCTAGTCTTTGGGGTTAGTAAGAATGTTTAGTGGTATGTTGCAGCTTGTCAAACACCTTGAGCCAAGTGCAAGAAGCCGGTCTCCCGATTCCCGCTCGACTGGTCTCCCTCTATTGTCCCTCCAAACACTACCTCGCCATCTACTCGCAAGGGAATTCACCTTGCAGGCCTTTCCAAGATGTTTGACATTTCCTATTAAACTCCTGATTCCATCGGCCCTATGATTTCATCAATGTCACCACCCAAAGCGGAAGCTTCAGGTTCTGACTTCAACCTCCAGAAGTCCATGCTGATCCCCTTTGACCATCGGCTTACCCAGGCAAAGCAAACGGCCAGGCAAAGTAGACGGCACAAGGCCTTTGATGCGGGACATTTCAACAAAATGGCTTGGAATTGTGGCTGACAGCAGCCACAGAGAAAAGAAAAGTCCACATCCATCAATGGTTTTTTGGACTCCTCTTCCATCAAAAAACGGAGTGCCGCTTCCCCCTGGAAAACCCCTCGCTTTCCTCCCCGAAGGCGAGCTGCGCCACCCGCCGCTCCAACTCCTCCGCGCCGCTGCGGTACTCGGAGTCCGCCACGCCCAGCACCCAGGCCGTGGCCGCTTCGCCCGCCCTCGGCGAAAGCAAGCGCAGCGCCTCGCCCACCGTGGCCGCAGCCGTCCACTCCTCGAATTTTCATGGGAATCTGAAACAATACTCTGGATTTCTGGATATTTCTGGATTTCAAACGGCATCTCTTACGTTGATTTGTGACTTCGGCTTTATCATGTCTGTGGCCCCGTGAAAAAGCGCCCTCTCCTCTGCGATGGCCTCTAAAAGCTCAGGGTCTTCCAAATCTTCTTCCGGAAGAAACTCCACCTCCATGGCGAAGCGACGCCAGAAGTCTCTCTGCTCCTTGCGAGGTGCAAAGGAAACACCGCATCCACCAGATGTTGAGCAAGAGGGTCCCTAAGACAAACGCGGCCCCTCTTTGCATGCGTTTGCAATGTGCGCTTGCCACTGAACCTCACATGGTGTACCCTCTTTGATACCCTGGTTGAATCTATTTGTGTAAAGGAAAATCCATGGAAAACCATGGATTTCTCCACATGGTGGGGTCAAACCACATTCGCCACGGGCAAAATGTGCAGTTGACTGTGTGAAGGACACAGTAGAAGCGAGGGGAAATTAAACTTGGTCAGTCGCCCCATGACCCTCTCCAAAATGGCCCATAGACAAATCAGAATATTTGAAACCGGCATGCATCATTATAAGAGGACTTCGTGAAATGTGCGCTTCTTCTTTAGTTTCCCTTTCAAACCGACCCAAACAAGGTCACCCTGCAGAAAATATAACACACACCCCAACTGAAGCAAAACCTGAACTTGCCACATCCCGCAGACCCCTCTTCCACACGAATCCACGGGATGTGACCTCCGTCACGGGGATCCGCAGCGGCGGGCAGGGCACCCCGGCGCGGTCCAGCGCATGCCGCTGGGCCTGCGACAGCAGCAGCGACAGCTCCGCCTGCCTGGGACGCAGGGGGATGGCGAGGGTCGTCTTTGGCGTTGGTACGCTTTTTGGGGTGGGTTGAAAGGGAAGCGTATGCAGCGACCATGGGTTGCCACATCCAAAATTCATCATTTGGCAACACAAGGACCGCGCCTTTGTGGCTTTCCCTGTACCCATATCCTTGTTTAAACCTTGCAACCTTTTGCATCTGTTAACTTGTCGTTTGGAAAACACCTATGGTGGACACTCTGGGCCCATTGCATATAGTTGTCCTTTTCGTAGAATCAGAGGAAAAGCATAGAGAACTCTTGGACTTTTGGCAGACCGTTTCGCAGCATCAGAGCTGGCGGCTTTGGGTCTGTCCATCTGCGCATTCCCCCATTGCAGAGACAGTGTCAATGCGAAGATGGGATGCATCACGGCCAATTTCGCTGGGGATGTGTAGATATATTTCAGAAGATAAGGACAATCACGACATTCAATTTCCTCTGCTCACAAAATTCAATTCTCCAACTGGGAATGTAAAAAGGGGTGGCAGCCTGCACACAGCACCGGGCAGCTTGACTGGGGATGTGGAAGGAGATGTCAAACCCACTTTTTGGAATCTAGAACTCATTTCCTGAGTGGTGGTCGAGTACTACTGCCTGTTGCACGCAATCACGTTGCGTCCCCACAGGCGCGCGGCAGCCCCCACGCTACCACCCCGACCCCCCCCCCCCTGCTTTCCTTGCTTGGCTGAGATGGGTATGTTGTTGGGGTACGAGGAAAACGCGCGGCAGCGACGCTTGCCTGCGCTCCTCTGTCGGCTCTTTCGCAGCCATGACCCATGGCCAGGGCACAGCCCAGAAACCCAGGGAGTGTCTTGGAAGATCCGAAAGGGGAACCAACATCAACCTAAACCACGTATGAGCCTCAAATGGGAATCGGACCCCCATTTAGGCACCCGAAGCGGGGCAAAGAATCGTGGTCTCTTTTCTGGTCAGCGACAACGTTCCTTGTTGCACACCAAGACAACACATGGCTCAGTGGCTGTGGTTCGGATTTTGCATCAGAGCCACATAGATGCTACGGATAAGCCCAGGAAGTATCCCCAACAGCTGCGGAACCCCTGGAACCCTACAGATCCCTCCCAGAGCCTATCTGGGCAGAGACCCCATAGCTTTCAGCTGTTGGGGGAAAACAAAGTGCGCAGAACTCGGGCGTCTGGGCTCCTGTCGCCCCAAGACCTGAGACGCTCGGCAAAGCCATGCGTGGAGATTTGAGCGCGTTGCTGCTGAGGCCAGGGCAGGTTGCTGGCTCTGCTCCACTCCTTGCGCCGCGCGTTCTCGGTGGAGCTCCAATTCACCTCGGCGCAAAAAACAAACTATGGCTTATGGATCCTAAATATCTGAACCGAAATATATGGATGCCACTCAAATGAATTGTCCAAATAGACCCCTCTCTGCTTGAAGCACCTGAAGTTAGAATTTTTGTAGCGTTGAGCTACTTGGCGAACATGCACGCCGAGCCGAGAAGTCTCTTGCGCTATGGGCGCAGGGCTCAAGGGCTCTGAGGCCACGGGCGGCGCGCGTGCGGGGGCGGCGACTCTCCTGGTTCGAGGCCCCCCCACAACGCGACGGCTGAGAGCCCAAAAAAACACACACTTTTCTACTGGAAACTCCATTTCGGCAAAGCCCCGTGTTTGGGTTCCACGTTGATTCGCAGGGAGTAAATCATGCTTGATACCACTTGGCCAGTCGTTGGCTCCTGGGGAGTGCTTCGTCCGGACACTGCACTGGCCACCGTGCCTGGCAAGGACCAGCGCAGCCAAAACTCCGTAGGGTTTCTCAAAATGGGATTCGGTCTCACATGGTTGGTTTCCTTTCGGTTCCCCTTTAAATACCAACCAAGGGGGTCCACCTTTTGGAGAGAAAGCCGCTTGGTAGTCGCGGTTCCAAAGGACTCCTCATTTTTGGGTAGACCTTCCCACCCGAGCGGAGCCCCGAGCCCCCGAGCCTGGCCGCGAACGGGACGTGGTGCCAGGCCTCCGTCCCGCGGGTTCGCGCGGCAGTGGCGGCAAGGCTCGGCCAGCGATGCTCCAAAACGGCGGGGGGTGAGGGGTTGGAATTGCATGACGTCGGCGTCGGCTGTCTCAACGCATAATTTCTCTTTGATTCTTCAAAACGAGCTCTCGCGTTGCGTCTTCTTGGTTTTTGGTCAGTGTAAGCATCCACCCACAAGTTGGCCCTTGGGGCGCAAACTGCTCTCGATTTGTTTACCGCCCAAATACAAAGCAACGGCCAACATCCTCCCGAACCCACACCCAGTCACAGAACCCGGCCTTGAGTCTTGCCTCGAGTCCTGCCTCGAGTCGAGCCTCGAGTCCCTGGGCGGAAGCATTGCCAACGATTCGTCAGAATCCACATGGCTGAAAGGTGTCAAACACAAAGAGAAACAAGTGAGCAGAGTGCCAACGGTTCTTCCGTCTTTGGTCCTACCACGATCTAATCCCCCAATGGCAAACCTTGGGTTGAGTGGCGCCGCTGGATGGCGGGAAAATCGTGGTTCGCCTCTAGCACCCGCAAACTGAAGTCTTTCATCGGTAGCTAAGTATCTCATCGACCTACAAGGCAATGAACAATCAAACAAACATGCTTGCTAGGCAATCAAGCATCTAATCCGTTTGCCCAGCCACTGGCTTAGTTTCGTACTTGATCAAACCTATCGATCAGCCAATCAGCAAGCCTAAGATTGCTCAGTGGCCCTCTTGAGGAGCCGGCTGAAGCATCCGCGTCTCCTGCTGAGGCTCCTGCCAGTCTCTTCGCGGGTTCATTTGCTGTCCCAATTGGTGCTTTGGATTGGTTTGGAGGTTAGGGGTAACTTCCTCACTTGGTTTCCAAAGGAACCGGTTTAAAATCCCAACCTGATCCAACCTTGTAGCTCACCTTTTGAACCGCCAAACCAAAAGCCCACCGAAAAAAACAGTAAGACTCTCCCTAAAACATGGCCGAAAAATCCGCGAACCTCAAAGGGGTGTACCCACTGGTTGGCCTTCCATCTCTCGTTGATCTCCCAAATGGCCCGATAGCCTGCCGCAAGCGGAAAGGCAAGGCCCCCAACCCAGCACTGGGCACCCACAACAGCAGTGTGGAAACACAGAAAGAGACTTCTCAAGAGTTGGGTTCCCTAAATGTCCAATCTGTAAACATCACCCCGCCGCCAAAGGAAACTCACTGAAATAGGCCGTTTCCAAAAGATGATCTTCGGAACCAGAGGGGAAGTACTGGGCGTCCTGTTTTATAGCAACTACCCGGTGGCACAGAGTCCTTTCCTTTGCACATCCGGCCCCCGTTCACGGTCCCTTTCAAACATCACCCCAACAAAAGGAACCTCACTCCCAAAATGCTCAAACCTTCCTGGACCCCGGCGTTTTTTGCGCCAGGGCCGAACCCAGCACAAATGCCCGCCTGCCAAGTTCGAGGGCAGGTTGTTCAAGGTCACCGGTTCTTTCTCCTTCGCGAGCGTTGGCTTCCTGGGCCGCGAGCACTCAACGCGATGCAGCTTTGCCTGTTGCCAGCAATTGGCATCAGATATGCCTGTACCAACTCCAAGGGGCGACGCAAGACTACCCCAAGAAGATGTCCACAAAAGGAACCTAACATCGGCAACAAACAAATATGGCCAACTGGCAAACGTTGACCAAACCCAAAGGTAGAACATTGGCTGCCGTCGTGCGGTTTTCCCTGTACCCCGCCACATGCCCCACATACAAATGTTGAAGGCAAACCACGCCGAAACCGTCCGTGACCCGACGGTGAGGCCCCTGCGGGACGAAGGCCGTCTTCGGGCGGGGCTGTACGTGCAGCGCCTCAAGCCAGTCACCTGCAGGAAGCAACTGACTGTGAGGGCGAGATGCGCATATGCGAAACATGTACACATGTGTTTCTATGCGGGTATGTAGGTAGGATGGATAGATAGATAGATAGATAGATAGGCAGGCAAATAGGTGTGTGTGTGTACATAGATAGATGTGCACACTTCCATAGATGTACACACATACTTAGATCTACCTATACATAATATGCACACACCGACATGTACAAGACAGGTCACAACTTGTGGTGGCCTACGCATATCGAAGCAAGGCACCTCAAGGTCCACCTTGAGTAATCGGGTCCCCAAACAAAGGCCTTCATAGACAGGGGTTCCGCAAGAGAACAGCCAAGAAGTCAAATCTGTTTCCGGATGCTCTATGAAACCGGCGTGATAAAAGACATAACTTAGTGGTGTCCCTCAAATCTATGGGCTGTCCCGCAAAGTGGTCTGTATGCGTTTGAAGTCCCTCTCAAAGCCATCTAACAAGGGGTCAAATCCTGATTCATGAGACAAGCCCAAGTCATGTGACAGGTTGTCAAAACGATGGATCCCTTTCTGAACTCCAAACAAATAACGTCGGCATGAAGCAGGGGTGCCAGCCACCTCTTGAGACATACACCAAGCGCAGATTTCGCGCCGGGGCTCGGGCGGTGCTGCGCAGCCCTCCGGAGGATCTCCTCCTGTGCGCCTGACGCCGACTTCGGCTCGAAGCTCTATGAGGGTCCTCCTGACGGTCCCATCTCCAAGAAACATCGGCTCCAAGGGAAACTCACCTATGGGCCAAAAGGCGAGTTCCTGTAAACCGAACAAACATAGAACCTGACAGGTTACCTGAATTTCAGGTGACTTGCCTTCTCCTGGCATTGGGCTCCTTCTAAAAGAAACTTGGTCGTCCAAATGCCTCCATTCAGGTTCCATGAAAGTGAAAGAAGGGTCCATCATTCAAAAAATCCCCAAGCAACTTCATGGAGAGCTCGTTATTTCCCTTCGCTCGCTTGCCTTGTGGTTAATGCCGTCTACCGGGTCAAAAATAATCTCACACGGAAACCACCGCCCCCTTTTTTGCACAAGGATGATCCTACCGCCGAATCCTTTTTCAAACAGGTCTTCGTTCACCTCCGAGCTGAAAAAATCACTTTGAAGGTGCCTGTTAACTCATATCTGGCAGAACATGAAGCCATGCATTGATCTCACAAGGTACTCCAAAATGGGACAACCCTGTGAGGCTTAAGCTACAGGGAGCCCATACTGCGCGCAGACGTATTCCGACAACTCCCAACTCCCATTCAGTGCATGGCTTGGGTGAAAAATGTGTCAAAGAGCCAAACTTTTGCTTGCCCCTTCACTCTTGAAGGTGGTGCTGAACTATTGGACACGACCATGTCAGCTGATTGGGCCACTCGTCCGCGGAAATTGGAATCTTATCTCGCAGTCCATACTGGCTGAAAACCGCCGAGCCTTCATGAGGTGCCGATATCATTAGCCCAGGTCTCATTCTGAGGCAGCTGCGAAGTCCCACAGAGCTGTCGTTCGCTCCGGGAGCGGGCGCACCTCAGGCACAAAGCACCGCAAAGGAAAAGTGGCAACCAAAAGGTTTGAAGTCAAACCACCCCGAAAAAATGGAAACACAAGGGAGAGAGGTTTCAGTTGCATGTCATGGACCTCCAAAGGGGACGAACTTGGGAGGGTCTTTGGTTGTCACCTAGAAAGCCCTTCAATAAGGACCCGGTTTGGGACTTGTCCTTGGCTTATCTGGGCTGCTCCTTGCCTTATCCAAAGCTTGTCCACGATAAGGCCCGCCCCATAGCTGTCCATGAAAATAGAAAAAGGTTGACCTTGGACAGAACATGGCCGGGGGGTGGGGGTGTTTCCTCACAAAATGCGGGTGGAGTCAAGAAGGGTTCCTTATGCGTGGTCAAACCCCCAGTCCGTTTTATGGTTGCCTCCAAGACGGGTCTTTTCCCCGCTTGGACATATGGACTTTTGGGGATGTGCCAACACAAAACCAGCCAGCCCTTCAAGAACCCACGCATGGACGGACGTGCCATGGTCAAATCTCCTTCTGTAGGCCATGCTCCTTAGGTGGGAACCCTAGGTGCTCAAAATCTCCAAAGGAGCCCTGACTATCCAACAGGGTTCCATATATTCCCCCGATCAAGGAAAAGCATCTTACAGGTGATGTTTAAAACCACCAAACAGGGAAGTATAGGGACGCCCGTCCATAGCAAGCAAACATTTCACCGCCCAGTTGTCCCCTGTCAAATCACCCCAGGCCGCCAAGGAGACTCCCCGAAAAACATGGCAACCTAAAGGGGCTTGCCTTTGGTTTCTTCAAAAGGGAAACCAAGAGGAGGTTGGCGGCTTTAAGCCAGAGTTGTATTCCCCCCCTCCAAAAAAAGAAACGAAAAACAATTCAGCCCTGTCAGACTTTCAAACTGCCCGAGTTTGGCGCTCGCATAGCTCCAGCCACCCTGCGGAGATGGAAACATCCAGAAAGGCAGATCACATCTTTATGCAGGGGTTGTTTCACAGTAGGAACCTTTCAAGTTTGGGGCCTTTTGGTTTCCCATTAAGCACGAACCACTCTGCATGTCAATCCAGGAAAGTCGACCTCACTGTGTGCCAAGTGTGCCGGCAGCGCGGTGTGGTTGCAAAGCACACCTTGCACAGCGACACAGCTTTGGATCACAAAGGTTCCGCATTGAGGACTGTCCACATCTCTGTTCTTGCATGTGAAATAGACAACATGGAGGAAGAACACCATCTCCAAAATCTCACGCAAAAAAGGATGTGGAATGCCTGTTTGACTGCAGGCTTTGTGTCGTGCATCCGGCCGCAATGTTGGCCCTCGGTGCTATCTGACTACCGATCCAACACATGGGAATCTCGACTCAGGACGGTGCCAACAGCAATGGCCGAGATCAAGGAGCTCTCCTAAAGTACGCAGTTTGTGAGACCAACCAAGCCCTATGTAGCACTAAACCGCTTACCGCTTCCCCCTCAAAAGCCGCCGTCAAGCGGGCAAGACCAAGTCGGGGCCCATCCACCATGGACCTTTTGAGTGCAATCTCCTTGTGCAGCAGCACCGTGCGATCGCCCTTTGCCATAAAGCCTCGCAAGCGCGTCGGCGCGGCAGCAAGGCCGCGCACATCGTGCTCAAGATTGAAGTCATCTGAGTTGACAAAGACTTGGTGACTCGCAGCATTGATGCCTGTGTGGCCTTTCACCTGTTGACCTTTTTGGAAAACGACGATGTCCGCACAAATAACAAAACGTGGTGGCAGAAAGTCTATAATCAACACGGAACTGTATACAAAAATGCGAACATATATAAAGGGTACACAGCCATAGCTACCAGACCTGCCCGGTTTGACCCGGTTCAGCCTCTACATCCTGCATTTCCCTTCAACCACCCTCCGATGTGTTTGTTGTTACTATCTTTTCTTGAGGGGGGGACTCTTCACAGCCCTTTACCGGAGCTGTCTTATAGTGGTTGTTTCAAGTCACGGGGTCCATGACCATCCCTACCAATCCCGAGTGAGAAGTATTCAAAACCTGGAATTAAAGTCAACCCAAAAAGGAAAGCCACACCTCTTGATGGCAACGGGCATCCTTAACCCTCCAAATGGTTCAAAGGGCGACCCCAAAACTGTTTTTGTGCTGACTTCCCGAAAGGTGTACTTTAATAGACGCAGTAGGCCTCAAGTGACCATGTCTTTACACAGGGGAGCCCCAAGAAACAATGTTCTGTTTCCTCTAGGTTTCCCTTTGAAACCACTCCAAAGGGGCAACCTCAACAACATGACACACCTAAATGGATATGAGTTTTTACTTTTTTTGGAACACTCCTCAATGGTTGCAGACGGGGAATTCGATGGTTGGGCCCACCCCAGTCCCCCCGAAGTCCGAACGCCTCCCAGCTGCTCCCCGAGGTCGCTGATGCGGCGGGTGAGCGCGTGCGACTCCGCGGCAAACATCTTGGCGGCAACAACTGTGTTTTTTGGATTGAGGATACCAGCAGTTTGGCAAAAATGTTGGGTTTAGGTTTTTTAGTGGTTTGGTGTTTTTTGGGCGCGGCAAGAGTTTGAGGGCACAAGAAGAGTAAATTAAAGTTTGGCAAAGTTGGCGAGAAATCAAGCTGACGCTTACCCTACGTTGCCATGGCGTCACTTCAAGTGCTCTGATGTGCCTCCTAAGGATAACCGAAAGGAAAGATGCCCTTCGACTTTGATGCCTTGCGGCTGTTTTTTGGGTTTTGCATGCAAATGAAAGGAGCCACCCACGCGGTTCCCTTCTTTTGACACAAACCCACATGTCATCAGGGTCTAAAAAATGGGAAGTCCAGCTGCAAATCAGAGATGGGTGTTTCTTGTGGGCAACTCCGTGTTGATTTATGTCCAAGGGAAGGACACCAATTGTGGGTACAAATTGCAAATCGACGTTTGTTTGATGCCGAACCCAAATGGCGAAACGAAAAACTGGAGGAGCTCGAGCATGCGTTTCTGGTGGATGCTGACTCTGGAACGGCCATCCACTGCTTCAGCTTCAAATGGCACCAACTTGAGGTGGGGCCCCATTTGCATAACCCCCACATGGCAAGAAGCTTCAGGATATATATACAGGTTCCCCCGAGCATCCAGGTCAACGTGAGACAAATCCAGCTGGAGGGTGTTTGTTGATCCGGCGCAAGCTTTGGTCCAATAGGAAACTAGACCACGGTTGGCCCGAAAGCATCACAGCCCCGTGATCATTCCCTCGCAAGTCTTTTGCTCGATGTGCAATCTGTCAGCTACAAACAGCCATCAGCTACAGCAAGAAGAGCACTTCACTTTCAAAGGCGTTTCCTCTACTCTGGAAGAAGAGGAGCACTTCACCTTCGCTTGTTGCTCGCGACCTCCGGCGAGCAGGCCCCAGACCATGTCCTTCTCTTTTTGCGCTTGGCCCCCTCCAAGCCACGGCAGGCCACGAAGAGCCGCGCCTGCCTGGAGTCTGGCTACTTCGCGCTCCATGATATGCGCTTGAGCCGACGCTGAGATAGCACTGCCACAGATTCGCAAAACCTGACCTGGTCACGAGCAACACACGCCCCAGCAACTAACCTATCGGACCCCCCCTCACACGAGTTTGCCAAGCACGTCAAAGATGACACATGTGCCGCCCTCATGCAAAACAGTGACTACAACGCAAATGACTCATGATGACTGCGCAATGACTCTCATGATGACTCTGCGCAATGACTCTCATGATGATTCTGCGCAATGACTCTCATGATAATAATTCTCCCAACGGAACAACCTGGCTTTTGCTCTGCCCAAGTTGCCCTGTGCTAGCTGCTCTGCGCAAGTGCTCTGTGGAAGTTGCTTTGCGCAGGTTGCTCTGCGTAAGCGCTCTGTGCAAGTTGCACTGCGCACGTGCTGCCGGAAGCACTTCGCATACTAGTTTTCTACTTGAAAAGTTCCATTATGCAGCCGGAGCTGCAGGACTGTACTCCGCGTACTACGTTTTTACTTGAAAGTTGCGATTTTCCAGCCGGAGCTGCGTCCGCGTACTAGTTTGCACTTACAAGTTGCGATGTCTGTCTAGAAAAGCTGCCGCGGACCAGGCGGGGATCGAACCCGCGACCGTGCGACTGCGCAAGCCACGCGACAACTTCCAAAGACCACGCACGGCGCCACAGCGAGAGCGCTTCGACACGCACGATGCCCGCAGAGGGTTCGTCGGGCACTTTGCAAAGGCGCACGGCGCCGCAGCAACAGCGCTTCGACCACGCCGATCTGCGCAGAGGGTCGCACGGGAATGTTAAGAATCGTAAAAAGTCCTGTTTTTTAACATCGACCACGCCGATCTCCGCAGAGGGTCGCGTGCACAGATTAATAATTGCAAAAACTCCCCGGCTTCTTAACATCGACCACGCGGATCTCCGCAGAGGGTCGCGCGCACAGATCAGAAATCGCAAAAGTCCTCAGTTTTTTAACGTCGTCCACGCCGATCTCCGCAGAGGGTTGATTTTCGTAGCGTGCTGTCTGCCCTACCCCGCCGACCTAAGAAGAAAGGAATTCAAAACTCCTCTCATGAGAACTCTCATGAGCATGGCTCCTCGCCAGTGACTCTCACGAGCATTGCTCCTCGCCAGTGACTCTCACAAGCGCGTTGCTCCTCGCCAGTGACTCTCACGAGCATTGCGCCGACTCTCCGTGCAATGACTCTGTGCAATGGCTCTGTGCAAATGACTCTGTGCAATGACTCTGTGCACTGACTCTGTGCTATGACACTGCGCAATGACTCTGATGATGATAACTCTTTGCAATGACTCTCATGATGATATCTCTTTGCAATGACTCTCATGATGATAGCTCCCATGAATCCAACGCAAGGACCCTTCGCAATGCTTTTGGAAAAAACACATTCAGCACTTAGTACCTGAGGCAGCATGTAGCACATGTCTGTGAGGGTTTCACACACATACACATCTTGTGGTGCAGGCTAAGCCTGCCTTTTTCGGTGCTTCGGGAAAGAAAGGTCCAGTTTCATTGTGGCATTTACCTGAAGAGTTTGTTGATTCGCAGGGCTTGCGGAACACTCACTCGCAACTGATTCCCAGTCAATCCAGCAGTTCATGCCTGATGGTCTTGGGCTGTGCCAAGTTAACGCCAAGAGGCCTCAAGTTTTAAGAAAAACTCCGCTACCAACACCTTGCGGGGAATGGGGATTCAATGTTTAGCAACTACTGGATATTCACATGGAACCCAGGCAAAAACACACTGGCCTGTTCTTTCGGGTTCTGCAAGTCATACAGGGGAGCTATTTGCATGCGTTTTTGAGGGTACCCCCGCCCTCTTTGAGGTTGAATTTTGGGCCAGAAACCAAACGAAAACCGAGCGCGAACTCGGAGACAACAGCCCACTCGAGTTGGTATCTTACCGCCATCTACACCAGGACAAGAGTAGATGGCACAATTATCTTCTGTCAGCAAGTAAGGGGGATGACGAAAAGGATGATGAAAACCAACCCAAAAAATGGACGTGTAGCCTGCAAAACATCCTAGGGGAACTCAAAGCAGGCGATGTTTCAAACCACCAGAAAAGGCAAAAGTTAAGCCGGACCCCTATGGGTCTGTCCTTAAATTGGACTTGTTTTCCTGTGGCCACAAAGACCCCCGGGTTCCGGGCCGGGCGCCGCAGAGCCAGCGCCTCGCTCAGGCACTCGCAGAGCTGCACCTCTTCCTGGCAGCTTGGCCATGAAGATGCGCGATGGCGTGTCCGGTTTCGAGGGCAAAGGAAGAAAATGCGAAACCCCGAATCCGGGGTTGAAAGGAAGGCTGAAATCAACAAAGGGCCGGTGGCCTTGAAAGGAAAGTTAAAAGGTTGCACTGGAAGAAACAAGAGTCGTTTGGCGGGTTCCCGTTCCATTGCAGGTCATGGTTTTGTTCACATGTCCTCCGGAACCACGCTCATAGGGTTCATCTCAAAATGGGGAAACCTTGCCCCAGGGCGGGCTAATTCACCCTGCTTAAAACCATGTCCCTTGCTCGGACACAAAAAGATCCCCTTTGCAGAGGCAAGATGCAGCCCTCCCACGTTGCGATGGCACCTGACAGAGGGTGATCTACCAGATAATTACCCTCCCACAGGTGCCTTCTGTTGGTGGGAGAAGGGCATTCCTCTCTTGAGAAAAGATGGCATGGCTTGTCCTGTTTGGGCCGAAGTTGTTTCACGCATAAACCCTGTGCCCGCTGGGAGAGACAGATTTCGACGTGCGCGCCTCCTCCAAGTGAACGGGCGGCAGTTTGCAAAACCTCGTGGGACCCGACTTCCGGTTCTAACAGAAAAGGTGTATACATGCCAAACTAAAACCACAAGCCAGGTAGAACCACAAAACTTAAGCTCTCCGTGGGGAGATGCTCCAATGAGCTTAGCCCAGAATGCAAACGCCCCCATGGATCCTCGGACCCCTGGCCAGCGATACAAGTTGAGTTGCTTCACCGCCCGCAGCATCTCCTTCCAGGTCCCAAGCGTCCGAGACATGCCACGGTCCAAACTCTTGGAGTGAGCCACAGTTAAAAGTTAACACCCCAAGTGACGCGGGAATTTGGTCAGGAACCCCATGTCCTTTTGGTATTGCCCCATGCCAATAGTATGTGATGGCGCACAGTGACGGTTGCTCATGTGAGCTATGTTATTGGGTTCCCCGGAAATCCTTGTCAACATTGTCTTAGGCACATGATCCGTACCAACCTCAAGGAGTCTTTTGATGGCACATGTCAAGCCGTTCTTTACTATAGTTTATACAAAAATGACACATTTTGGCTCAAATGTAGAGAGTTTGCCATTCGGAGCTTATATGTTGGAACCGGTCCTGGAAGTGGCCGCTCTTTACTATAGTTCATATAAAAATGACACATGTTAGCTCACCTGTAGAGAGTTGGCTGATTAGGAGCATGGGCCTTATGGTCGCTGACCAATGCTTCTGACATACATTCGGTTCTTTACAACAAGACCAATTTTGCTGGGGGATACCATACCGTAAGTTGGACTCTTAGACCCCGTCGCGAAAGTGAGTGCCCAAGCTTGGCACATTTGGATGTGGACCTCAAAAAATGGGGTTGGTTTCCATCTGTGGACCTCGTGGTCCATGGATGTGGATTCCTAGTTGTTTCCTTAACGCCAGCTGATGGTCTTAAACCTTCAGCAGAACCCTTAACGACTTGAACGAGCGCCTCTCCCATTGAATCCGACTGCAGCATGTCTAGCCCATATTAGGACCTTGTTCCCGCAAGCTTTCATTCCGCTTGTATCATGCTCCTTTCCAAAAATGTCAAGAGCTCTCAGAACTCATGACATTGCCCCCCAAATTTCAAGGCTGGCCTAAAGTTTGCGTAAGATTGGTTACTCCTAAGCGCTTGACATCCCCAGCTCTTCCCGCTTCACTTTTTAGCAGCTCGGTCCTCCCTGGCGGACAGCACGCTATAGGCATTGCCCATGTCCAGGCACTGGGTCCCCTCAAGCCTCAGCTTGGGGTTGGCTCTTGACAACTGGGGTCTCCCCTCTTTCTTCATGGAAACCACGGCCACCACCACACCTCTTTGTCAGAAAGGTGGCACCGCAAACTGACCATCGGTCAGGTCCAAGTCCCATGGGCCCGGCGAGACCAAAGGCTCGGCCTGCTTCAGGGGCATCACAGTGATGCCGGCACCTGAAAACAGGCGCTTTCCTCTCGCGGGGAGGGTTACTATGGGTCCTTGGTTCCCGACATCTGGAATGGAGTTCGGGTCCCAGTACAGAGTTAAGTCAAATTGGCCTTTCAACCAGACCCTGGCGCAAGGAAACCCAAAAGGCAGCTCTTTCAATGGCTCGATTGTCAATCCCCGAACCAAGCCAATGGAAACGGGCATCCGAAAAAAGGAAGCACGCCCCCACAAAGTGCCCAGGCACCGTAGAACATCGACTGCATCTCCTCGGCGTTGGCGGGGATCGACCGCGCAGGCCCCTGGTCGATCACTCATCCGAGCGTCGGCGCGGTCGAAGGATGGGGATGAGATGCGGCGGAAACAGCGAGTAGTTGGTAATGACAGGAGACAAATAATATGGCAAAACGGGTTCGTCTCCACATTTTTGTGGACACCTTGCGTGCGGCAATTCCCGATATCGTGATGAAAAAGCAAGCTCGGAAAGGGTACCCTCCAAAACAACACACCCCAATGGAGAAGTTTCGACGCTGTTGAGATCGAGGCAAAAGGTGCAACATGGCACAAGAATGATGCCCCCCCCCCCGGCTCAGTCCACACCTTTCCGTGTCTTACGCGAGCCTGCTGGTGAAACAAAAGCCCCAAGACTGGCCCTATCATTTTACCTTGGTCCAAAACCAGTTTCCGATGTTTACATGCGAACCTGCCCCTCCCCCCCGGCACGAAAAAAAATTGAAAAGGTTTCTGCTTGGTTCGCATCTCATCACAACCCCAACAAGGGTGCCTTCTTCCCAGTCAAGGAAGCTGACGCACAAAGGGTACCGATCCTCGACAAAAGCACAGAGAGATGGGTGTGTGTCAAAATAGGGTACCTTTTTTAATGGGTGGTTTCCGTTGGTATCCGGCCTCATAAAATCAAGCCGCAAACCCGCCTGCGGCAACTCGCCAGCCTCCGAGTCCTCCCCTGAGTTTGGGCCGGAGGTGGGATGGGGTGAGGGTGACGACAGGGAAAAAAACGGCCCCATTTGATTGTGTTCTTGTTGCCCCTTTTCAGGGTGGGAATCAAAGGGAAAGCCACCTTTTTGGATGGATCAACCCATGATTGGGATGGTTAGGTTGCTGCCCCTGGGTGTGTTTGATGTATATTGTATGTATGTGTATATATATATATGTATAAATGTATCTCTCGGTATCCATCATACAAAGAACTGATCACTCAAAGCTTGATGGTTGAACCGGCTGAAACTGGAAATCATGGATTTGAAGGGAAACCAGCCAATTGTTGGATGGCTTGAAGAGGCGTCATATAAGCCGCTGGTCATACCAGATCCTACTCATACCCAAGTAGGATGTGGGTTCACAACTAGACAATAAGCAGCATGTATGTTCCCACAGATTAAATTGACGCCTACAAAAAACCAACCGCCAGCACGCAAAGCGCACAAGCTTCCGGAACTTCGTCTCTTCTGTCTGCACAAACCTCCAAGCACGGGCTTGCGGACCGTCACTCAATTCAACCCAAGCCTTTTACAAGTGCTTAGCCGTACCATCCCTGCGGTTTTGATGGTATCTTCCATGGCTAGCGGCTAGCAGGCGAATGGGCTTGCCAATCAGAACGCAATCAAAACCTGGCATTGAGAGGGTCGACCCAATACCTATGAAGAATCAAGTCACCGGATCTCCTACCTGTTTTACTAAGAATCACCCACCAAAATGGTGCTTCTATCTCCTGTCCAACCACTCGAAAACGGGCTTCCTCCCAAAAAGAAGAAGAAACACCCAAGTACAATTTCCTTCTTCAGCTTTCGAGTGCCAGCCTCCGAAGCCTTCTCCCTCTTGGGGCCCCGGGCAATCCTCGGACTTGCGGCGCCGCGGCGGGGCCATTCGGATCTCCGACGCGACAAAGGACAAGGTCGTGTTGGAGGACCTCGAGCAAAGGAGTGTGGCTTCAATGGCAGCAGAAACACAAACAAAAGCAAGGGGTGCCATTCAAAACAACATGGTTCTTGCCCACTCTACCTGGTTCCTGAAAGACCATCCCCCGTTTTGGGTCGCAATGTCCCGAGCAACGAGCGCTTCAAAGTGGCAAGGATCTATCTGGCAATTGTCCGAATGGGAAAGCCCAGGAGGTGAGATCTGCCATGCAATGGAGGGGTGGCCACCTGGCGCGAAACTTGGCAGCCTCCCCACCCCAAGGTCGCGGGCGGTGGCCGGTCGGAGCCACTTTCCTCGACCTCAGAGAGGTTGGAAGAAATGGCATGCGAAGAGGGCACTTCCCGCAATGGGCACTTCCCGCAATTTCCCAAAGGGGAGACCTCTACAAATTGACGACCCAAGGTGTTGTTTCCCCGAATGCGGTCAACTGGAGGCGTTCTGGAAGCCCGCTACAGAAATAAATTGCTGCTGTCGCGTCAGATTGCGACCCGAGATCGCTCCGGCATCTGTTGGGCGCAAGGCATGCATATCATGTAGGACATCTATCTGGTAGTCCCAAACTGGTCTCCTGCGACAAAGGCGATCGCCTGCTTTGCATGCCAAAGATCACCATGCAAAGCGCCAGCTAGAAACGCACCTTTGCTGCCTGCGACTCAATTACTTTCTGCGGCCCGAAGGGACTGCGGGTTTCCGACAAGAGTCTATCTGAAGGTTACGGGCTCACGGGCCCACAGCCCCCCACAGCCCCCCACAGGCCCACCACGGGGCCACCACAGTCCGCCACGGGCCCGCGGGCCCGCCAGAGGCCCACGAACCCGCCCGAGCCCACCAGAACCACGGGCCCCTGTCTCTGTCTCTGTCTCTGCCTCTGCCTCTGTCTGTCTGTCTGTCTGCGTGCATGTATGTGTATGTAGATGTGTGTGTATCTATCTTCGGGTGTGTGTGTGTGTGTATGTCTGTCTGCCTTTCTGTCTGTCCTTCTGCCTTGTTTGAAAGTCTCTCGGTCCGTTATGTGTGTGTGTTGATATGTATGTGTGTATGTATGTGTGTGTATGTGTGTGTATGTGTGTCTGTGTGTATGTGTGTATGTGTGTATGTGTGTATGTGTGTATATGTGTATGTATGTATGTATGTATGTATGTATGTATGTATGTAGGTACGTACGTACGTACGTACGTACGTACGTACGTACGTACGTACGTACGTACGTACGTATGTATGTATGTATGTATGTATGTATGTATGTATGTATGTATGTATGTATGTATGTATGTATGTATGTATGTATGTATGTATGTATGTATGTATGTATGTATGTATGTATGTATGTATGTATGTATGTATGTATGTATGTATGTATGTATCTAGGTATGCATGCATGCATGCATGCATGCATGCATGCATGCATGCATGCATGCATGGATGGATGGATGGATGTGTGTATGTATGTATGTATGGATGTATGTATGTATGTACGTATGTATGAATGTATGGAAGTGTGTATGCAATGTATGCAGGTGTCTATGAACGTATGAAAGAATGTGTGTATGCGTGCATGCGTGCAGGTATGTATTGTGCGCGCACGCATGTATGTACGCACGTGCGTACGTACGTACGTACGTAGTATGCATGCATGCATGCATGCATGCATGCATACATGGATGGATGTATACGTGTATCTGTGTATGCATGTATGTACGTATGTATGTATGTACGTATGTACGTATGTACGTATGTACGTATGCACGTGTGTGCGTATGTACGTATGGACGTATGTACGAATGCACGTATGTACGTATGTGCGTATGTGCGTATGTACGTATGTACATATGTACGTATGTACGTATGTACGTATGTACGTATGTACGTAAGTACGTAAGTACGTAAGTACGTAAGTACGTAAGTACGTAAGTACGTACTTACGTACGTACGTACGTATGTATGTATGTATGTATGTATCTATGTATGTATGTATGTATGTATGTATGCAGGCATGTATGTTTTGTATGTGTGTATGTGTGTGTATGTGTGTGTATGTGTGTGTATGTGTGTGTATGTGTGTGTATGTGTGTGTATGTGTGTGTATGTGTGTGTATGTGTGTGTGTATGTGTGTGTATGTGTGTGTATGTGTGTGTGTGTGTATGTGTAAGCATTTATGTATGTATGTATGTATGTACGTACGTACGTACGTGTGTATGTATGCATATGTCTGTATGCATGTATGTATGTGTTGATATGTGTAAGAATATGTGTGTGCGATGTACGCGCGTGCGTGCGTGCGTGCGCGGGTGTGCATGAATGTGGGTACGCACTCAATCGCGCACTCGGCATACGAGCGCGTGTGTGTATATGTGTCCATGAAGCTGCTAGCTTTCTAGAGATAAAGTTTATAGTCACCTTAGCGTCAAGTCGCACAGCATGCAAGCCCACGACGAAAGTGCCACGCGACCATTCAGCTTGGCCCCCTCGCTAACACTCCAACAAAATGTATGCCGGGACATGCGGGCCCACAGCAACCCAAGCCGCGTGTCGGGGCAAGGGACATTCGGTCAAAATACAGTCTATTGTCTTGACCCCCTTGTTGCCATAAATCTGTCTCTGAATTCTAGAAGGCTGAAGCGTGTGGGTATGGCTGGGAACCGCCAAGAAGTGTGAAACGGGGCCACAGGGCCACTCCATGCATCAGAAAATGCCTGAGGAAAAAGCGTGGCGTCCGCCTTTTCTCCAAAGGGGGGAGGGGCAACTTGACCAAAGGGGCTTTTCAGCCATTCGTCTTTGAAGCAAACGGGCACTTGCGCCCGCTTCAGACCCTCCTTCGCAGGTCCGATAGCTTGGCCTCCACCTGGCGCGAAGGGAAGATCAGTCGTGGGGAAATCACCCAAAATCGGCGATACCAAAGTGTGAGTCCCACAGGACCTCTTGAATCACCCCAGGTTTGTTCCTCCTCTATCCGCGGCATCGTCAGCGAGCCAGGAGCCTCTTCTTCACCTGTCCTTTAAAAAGGTCCACCGAAACCGGGTAAAGAAAGAAAACCCGAATATGGCGGGCTAAGAGTGATCGTTGCTTGAAGATGTACACCTTTTGAGAAACTCCAATGTATCCAGTTTGAGGGCTCTACTTTAAGACACTCCCATGGCTCTCGAACTTCCATCCGCCTCCTCCGCAAAGACCGAGAAGCTGCGCCGGAGATGCTCCAGGCGGAGGTCCGAGTCCCTGAGCTCGGATTCGGAGAACTGGTCGCTTTTTTGGGGTGCCCTTTGGGATGGCTTAGGGAGCCAGGCAAACCAACAGGCCGGGCCCCTCCCCCCAGTTTGACCATCAAATCACGGCCCCATGTGCCCTCTTCCAAAATTGAGCACGGGAAGGAGGTTAATACAGAACCTGGAGCCGAAACCAACGGCTTCGAGCAACCTTTGACCCGCGGGGAGGTTGTGCTTTCAAGTCTTTGCCGCTCAAGCCGTCTGAGGTGCCCCCACCGCGACATGTGGCGCACTGGACCCCTCCATGTGCACTTTGCAGCAGCCGCAACACACGCAGCAACAGTCCAAACGTTGGTCTGCTGTCTGTTGATCATCCAGCTTACGTCAAACAACCATCCCAAAATACGGATATCTGGTGACGCCTGTGACGACTGCCGCCAAAAACCACCACCCATCGACTCTTCAAACCATCCCCCTTGCCGTTTTGAGTTCCAGGCAGCTCCTCCGAGTCGTTGCAGTCAGCGCCTGGAGCGTCGAATTGTGGGGTTAACTCCACACCAGGGGTTTGGTTTCTGTGGAGAACCTCCCATGGAGAAGTCGTTCAGAAGGCCCAGTGCGGGTCCTCCCCCTGCTTCTTGTTCGGATGGCTTTCCGGTGAACACGTGTGCAATGAACTCATCCAGAAGCTTCCAAGCAAACCTTCCGACTTTGGTGTGCGCTGGGTCTGCCGCGGCTCGCGCGACTTTGGCAAGTCGGCGAATTCAGCCTGGACGAAAGGAGCGTGCGAGGTTCTGGTGCATGGGCGCTCTGATCTTTTGAGGGCTCTCTTTCCACAGGTCCATAGGAGCATTTGTTTGCTTCAGTTCACGCCATCCCGCCTGCTCTCATTCCGCGAACTCATCAATGATCTACCTTAGCATGCGCCATCGGCCAGTGCCATTGCGGCCCCCTGCGTTTCTTTTGGAATCCCTTCAAATACCAACCAAAGGTTGTCTCCCATTTGGAGAAACCCCCATTTGCGGTGATCCAGAAGAGGGGAATTGAGGGACCCCTGCAGCTTGCCAAGGACCCTTCGCTGTATCTCTGGAACTTTCGGACCAAAAGGATACTGCGGTAGAGCTATCCCCTTTTTTCTGGAAAAGAAAGCATGATCGCGAAATGAAGGAACCCTCCCAAACTGGGCCTCGGTTTCCCTTTGGCTTCCCCTTCAAAACCATCCAAGCTTTCAAAAAGGTCAAACAGGGGAACCCGCCAAATGTGGGATATGACCGCAAGACAATTGACAATGGGCGCCATGCAAAAACGATGCCAAAATTGGCGGCCAAAAAGTCCATCGGACAGTGGCAAAAACATGCATGCCCATCTGGGGGCGTGGTTTCGGGGATCTGAAAAAATGGTACTCCTTCTTGTTCGCTTGCCCTTGAAAGCAAGCCCAAAAAGGGTATCCTCAAAAGACGGACCCACTCGATCCTGCTGGAAAGAAAAAACTGGAGCTCCGGCAGTAGGCCTGCTGCGCCGCCCAGCTGCGGCTCCTGTTTGGCGACCGGGGCCTGGCATGTAAGTGGCGCGTGTTGCCTTGGTTTGTAGACCCCTTTGTAAAAGTTAAACTCTTAGTGTTCGTTCAGCCGCTTTGCGCTGGCATACACGAGTCAGGCCCACAGCTCGAGGGACTCGAAGCGGGAGAGCGGCTCTACAGAGTCCCACCTGAGTTGCCGCGTCGGCTTCAACGACCAAACAAAAACTGCATCGTGTATATCGAAAGCAAGAATATGGCCTGTGTGTTCGTGTACAAAAAAATGCAAAACTCAATGCACGGTGCAGACTACCCTCCCGCAAACAATCATGCAAACCAACGATTGGATCTGCTTTTGTTTTGGGAAAGGCTCCGGTCCACTTCTATGATTTGCTGGACAGAGGGTTAATGTCCGACCTGCAAATATCACCCCAGGCGTTTCTTCTTGTGGTTTCAAGGCCAGGTATGTTAAATCGCTGCGCAGCTCGCCAAACCCGAAAAACCAAGACCCTCCAGAAGACTCTAGGTGGTCCACCGCAAGGAGTTGTGAGCGAAATCCAGTTTCCCCCCCGCCGACCTGTCAAAAACATCACCTGCCAACCACCAAAAGAACACACTTTAAAAACGAGGCGCTTCCAAAATGGGAGGCTCGGCTAACGGAATCCCACTCGGCAAGGGATAGATTCGGCCGAAAGACTGAAAAGAACCCAAAACCAACTTGGAACTGTGGGCCCTTAATGATCTGAATCGAAAGAAACATGGGGCGCCGACATCATGGAGGAGTCATCCCACATGCTGGTCAACGAAGCCAAGACGTCCTGCAGCTGCCATTTCGAGCCAACAACCCATTCAAAAAACACCTTCTGGGTCCATGACAAAAAAGTAGATCAAAACGGGGGGTTCTTGTAGTATCCAAAGCCACCCCCCCTCCACACGCCACCGCCCAAAACAAGTTGGTGTCCTTTTAGTCTTGCGGAAAAGGTCATGTGAGTCACAATCAAAACCTGGTACAAAAATGGTGAACCCAGAACCATGTAAAGAATTAAGAAGGCGGCCGCAGCCATTTATGGTTGGGACTGCCCCTTACTAACCTTCATCTACCCGGGTTTTGATTGTGGCTCATGTTGAAGCGCCAAGGTGCAGCTTTTCCCAGGAGCCCTGTCTATGTTTGGTGTTTGTCTCATGCGATGATTCCAGTATTTACATGCCTGAAATTCACTCCCCACCTATAAGCTAAATATGGCGGAGGTTTTTAACGGGCGGGCGAAGGTTGTCTGCGTCAAATAAGGTGATACATGCTGAAATCTTCCGTCAGTCTGGCCTCAAAGGCTTAAGATCAAGGTCAAATTATGAAAAAGAAAACTGTCCCTTGGAGTCCTCACAAAATTGGCCTCCTTTTTTGCAGGGTACCCCTTTTTGATTGTTTGAAAGTGAAACCATACCCAATGTAAATGTTGCAAAGAAACCGTGGGACTCCTGGAAACTGAAAATGTCCGTTTAAAGCCCACCCCGAAACCTACCCAAAATTGTGATGTCTCTGTTTTCCACAATGCCCCCCCGTCCTTCTCGGCCGTTTGCAGCTTGCTCTCTTCTACGGACTTGATCGCCAGCCCCTTCCGAAGCACGCGTCTCACTTCTCCGGGGTGAACGGCCCGTTTGGCCCAACATGGCGACGTGCGTTTTTCCCGGGGTCCGTCTAAAAAACCAGCCGGTTACTTTACTTCGAAAAATCCCCACCTCAGAGCGGTGCTTGGCTAAGCTAGACCGCAACCAGTCTTCGACCCCGCGAGGGGCCTCAAGCATGCTGCTGGCTGACGCAACGGCAAAGAAACTCAGCCAAACCAGAAAATGAAACCAAGGCAGCGCTGACCCCTGTTCAATAGCAACTTTGCTTTGTTGACATCCCTTCAGCCAGGGCACCACTCCAACTCCAGCCTAACTCCCTCCCAATTCCCCTCCAACCCACACCCGACCAAATCCTCCACACTCCAACTCCACTCCTCCATCCACATTCCACACCACCCACCCTGGCCCAACAAGCAAAACTACTGGCGGCGAAACTTGTCATCAAAGTGGTCGGACGGCACAGAGTCTAACAACCCCGGGTAGGGAAAAGGAGGGTCCCCCGCGTAACGCCTGGGTATGATGTATTATTTTGGGGGAAAGAGTGGCAATTATTTTATACCTGGAAAAGGGAAACCACTCAAATTGTTCAAGGATATTACATTTGGGAAAAGGACAGGTTTGCAAAGGCGAACCGGCGTGGAACCTTTTGCCATCTGAGCAGACGGGCCCAAAACCAATTCTGGGACTACAGCGTGGCCTATATCAACCTTTGCAGCCATCTGGGAAGAAAAATCAACGGGTCTCCGTATCCCGCTGCTTCGGAGGGGTCGAAATAAGCTCGTTTGACACCTGCCCAGTACGCCGTTCTCGCGCATCTGCGAGGCTCTGACCACGTCATTCTGCCCGCTGTCGCCGCCTGCAAATGCCCAGCGGTCTGCAACCCAGCCGAACTCATTTAAAGATTGCTGTATGATTCGTTTGTTCGCGTTGGGATGGTGCATAAGGACATTCTTCAGATTGAGGGCCTCCCAACAAGTCGAATGTGGAGGGATACAGGAACGCGTGCATGCAATGACATTGAGCTTGAGAAGCATCTGCAGTTGCATCATATTATTGTATCCTCTCCCTGCCGGAGCATCAAAGATGGATGCTCCCGAATAGTACACTGACTGCACCCAAGTTGCGATGTGTTTGACAGTTTTGATGCATGCGCTATCCGTGTGCCCGGCATCTGGCTCCATGAAATTCAGCATGGCGATGTGTGACATACGCACTGTGGAAAAGCCGTGCAAGCAGCAAGCAAACAAACAAACAAGCAAGCAAGCAAGCAAGCAAGCAAGCAAGCAAACAAACAAACAAACAAACAAACAAACAAACCGCGTCAAAGCCGTAGTGTTTAGGGGAACCTTTGTCATGCAATAGTATTGTCTGCAAACAAAATCATTCGCACCCTTGATCACAAACAGACATGTCCTGACGTCGTATGCCATGGCCCAGCATCAACCAACCATCTGCATGGTACTCATCATAGCTGAGGTTGTTGTTAGCGCCACTTCCTTTGTCATGTCCTGCCGGTCACGAGCTTAAGTTGCACCTTCTCCCTGCATTGATCCCAAATTTTGTTGCACGTGGTAAGAAGCACGCTTCGTGGAACTGTGAGACCGGAGTGGGCAAATCCCTCTCCAGGAATTTCCGTGATCAAGCCAGTCTTCGCTTTGGCCGATTGGCGGAGCTCCGCATGATCCACAAAGTTGTCAGTTCTGAGAAGTCCTGCATGGCACTTGTTGCAACCCCCATAAAGATCAAAGGGCACTTGAAATCCGACGGACAAGCCCAAGGTTGGCAACTTGTTGCCTGCAGCCTTGCGGATGAGGTCTTGGGGTCCGCGACCCCTGCCACATCCTGAAGTGCTTTGGGCTCAGGCGCCTGCACCTCCCTCATACTGATCCTTTGTCCTCATCAAGGCTGTGGATGCGGCAAGGCCACAGCCCGACCCCTGAGCTCTTGACTCAACTTGACCGAGTTGTGAAAATGGCCAGCAGCCTTCCAAGCACTCGGTCGCCAAGAGACCATGAGACCTTCACGTAAGAGCCACGACCGAGACGTAGAGCTGCAAAGTATATCTGTGCTCCGGCTAGTGCGCGTCACTCCATACGTCCTGAAGATGAGAGGGAATGCGCCGCCTGGCACCCTGCAAGTATCGCCGAAATTGCTACGAGTTGTGAGGTTGCCCGCCAAAAAATACAAACCCTGCGTCAACCCAACATCTGAGCATAAAGTCAGTGAAGACTCGGAAATCCACAGTGTTACCCACCAAACTCTCTAGCTCAACAGAAGGGTTTAGGTGACAAGTCGACCCGCCTGGAGCCAGTACAGACTTGGGGAAATCGGGCCGCGTGGCGCAGTCCTCGCCGAGAGTTAGAGTTGCCCAGGAGAACTTTCACCCAGACATGGTTGGCCTCCTTTGACTTCCTTCGTCTCCAGCTTACTTCCAGCTGGCACCACTTTTCCTCTTGAAGTGTCTTTCTTAAAAGGGCCACAAGGGCTGTTTGGCCCCGAAAGAGAGTACCCTAAGCATGACACACCCTGCTGGGTTCCTCCCAGGTGCAACGGGGCAAGTGGCTGAAAAGTTCCGCCACTTTCTGCCACAACTGAGGAAACCTCATGAATAGAGGATTGTGGTCAAGAATCCCCATGCAAGCTGGGCATGTGTTTATGATTCACCAGTCGAAAACAAGGAACCCCCCAAGGAAGGAACCTTCACTTTAGGCATATGTCGCAAGCTGGGCCCCCACCGGCGCCATGTTTAGATTCAAGGGGTCTAGGGTCTATGAGTCTATCAGCAACTCACCTGTAGCCTTGAGCATGTTCATTGGTGGTACCTTCCAGTCAATGCACTCGTCCTTCTTTATCAGCAGGCTCCGGAAGTTCTGCGTCGGAATCCCATGCTTTGACCTCAAAGCTCGTGTGCTTTTGGTTGTGTAGGGGAATGTCACAAAGCTTGCAGGGATCCTGAACCCCTGTTTGAAGTCTGGGGAACCTGGAAAACCACAACGGCAAGCTACAGGAGGAGGTGTCTCGCTAGGAATGCGGCTGCATGACCCACTTCCAATGAATGGCCCCAAATGTAGGGAACTGATGGAGTTCTGCAACCATAGTCCTTGACTTGATGAAACGCGAGAAAAGAACGCGCTGTGCCGCGGAGAAAGAGTTGCCGTCCCGTGGTCAATAGGTTCAATAGGTGCGTAGAGTTGCTATCGAAGTACCAAGAAGTAAACTCGGTGGACTCCAAAACTTGAAACCCTTGTTGGTTGGTAGTCAAAGGGAAACCAAAAAGCATTTTGGGAGGATCCACTTCCACTTTCTTTTTGAGTGTGTGTGTGTGGTGTACTTGACTGCCTTTTTTGGAGGCTACTCTGCTTGATTTTGTTCCAAGGAAAACCAAGGGGAAACCCAAAGCAACAAGTGTGCATCCCACTTGGAGACAGCCTCGCATTTTCGGACACAAAGCCTCGATGTTGGCTGGGAAATCTGAGGTCATTGCAACACCTTGGACTGCAGCGGAGAACCTCAGTGTGAGAAACCTCAACTCTGCATGTAGGTTGTGTTGGTTGGTACCCCCTTTTGGTGGCTTGAAAAGGGCAAGCAAAAGGAAATCGATCACTTGGACCTTTGAGAGATTACGTTGCGAGTGCGAGGCGACTGTTCGAAGAGAAAGTTCAATCGGGAGCAAGCAGTGCCACTACAGGCCAAAGATCGATTCTGGAACCCTTTGCTGAAACAAGCCCTGCATCAGGAATAGCACACGCCTCTTGAATCGAGGCATTGTCCTGTTCTAGAGGAAATCCGGATCACCCCTACTCCACCAGATGAATGCGTTCGGATGCGGCGAGGCCCAGGCATGGTGGGCCCTCTCGCCGGCGCCTCTCCAAGGAGCCGAGAGTAAATCTTCGTATTGCGCCCTGGTAATCCATGTAATGGGAAACGACCCTGCCTCCTAGTAGAACATACCTGGAAGGAGCTAGTACTTGGAAGAATATTTGCCTCTTGGGCCCCTGTCGGGTGCCATACCGCTTGGCAGGGTTAGACACAAGCACCAAGGGCAAAACTAGGTTCTTCCAGCAATGGAAATGTACTCCAGTCCCTCCGGATTTTGTGGGGAACTTCACGTTTTTTGAGTCCCCCATATAGCTCCCCAACGTCTTCCCCCAACAGGTCCCAGCTCCTGGAAGGCTTGCGCTCGCGCTTTCGCGGCTCGCCTTGCATGCCGCAGGGCGCCAGCTGACCCCGGATTGGAGTAGCGCCCTCTCTCCACAGGTGGCTCAGTGTCTTTGTAGGTGGAACCCATTCTTGGATGGCTTTAAAGGGGGTTCCAGCAGTCTTGGGTCCCGTTTCCCCTATTTCGAGACAAACCCCCATGAAGCCTTGAGGGTGATTCTTTTCAGTAACTAGTAACTTGGAGAGAGCTACAGCAGGGGCTTCTAGTAGAAGCCGGCAAGTGATCCGGATCCTCTCAATGGGACACCCCCATGTGATCCAACCGGGCTTTTTGCTCTGGGTTCCCATAAAAGCAACCCCCTTGGCGTTTCTTGTTTGCGAGGATACAGGTAAGTGAAATCCCAGCATTGCTTTATCAATTCAAAGCGAAGTGATTTGTTCAATGCACAGGTGGCCCTTCGCATCAAAAGTTCCTGTGAAAACTCCTTGAACAGGTTCACAGAAAGCGGAAGCGTTTGTTTCATCCAGGGGCACGGCACAGGATCCGCGTCAGCACTTCCGTGGCGCGGCCCGTGCGCGGCACCTCTGTCTCCAAATGGATATAGCTCCTCAAAAATTGGACACACAAAAAACTGGATTGCAGTCTCCCTTTTGGTGTCCCTTTCAAACAAACCTGAAAAGGGTGCCCTCAAACGACACTGAAATAGGGATGGTTTCCCTTTGAACTCCCTTTGATAGCAGGTATACGAAGGGCCCATCTGGGCAACGTGTGGCGACACTGTATGCTGCCTTTCAAGGGAGTTTCAAAAAAGGGGGCCCATGATTTCCCCGGACCATCAAAGCCGTCGCAGCTTTTCCCCCAGCGCTTGCAAGCTGGGGCTCCCGGCGGGCGGCAGGGTGCGCAGCGCTGGCTCCTCCATGGCTCTGTCATCGAGGTACTAACTCGCCATCGAACCGATCTTGGCATCTTGGCACTTCGCCGGAAACGGGACACAACAACCAAAGGCATTGATCTGCTAGGATCTGACCTTAGCGTCATTTGTCTTTGTAGTTTGCGGCTCGACGCTCTGCTCGCTGGACTTGATTCATTCCCGTTCGCTTCTCCCTCTACTCGCTGAGCTGCACTTCGGTCTGCGATTCTCCAGTCAGCTACGGCAACTCAACCCAACCAGAAACGTATGGCACTCTGCGCATCTCCTCCAAGCGAGCAAAGCAGCAAAACGAACCTGGCACGCCTGGCCACTTTGCAAGCTGCTCGCATCTTTCTGCGATCCTGTGACCAATGGGTGGGACGTCTGCCGAGCGTGGCTTAGCATCTTCCGCTCCGCCCGAGACGGTATCGGAGCGTCAAACACGGGAACCAAGGGGCAGCCTAACAGCGTGCGACACAAAATTGCAGTGAAAGTGGATGCTGTTTTTGTTTCCCTGTTTTGGGCACAGCCACGCACCAGACTTTACACATTTTGCGGGACTCAAACGATCGGCTCGGTTGGCTTCCAAAGCCTACACTGGCTCGCAAAGCTTCCAGACTTGGGCAGGCGGCCTGGCAACACATGGTCACCATTCTGGAAACTTTTCAGCCCAGACGCGGCTTGAAAACCGATGCCAGCAGTGAGACTGCCTGAGGAAGCGCTCAGACTTCCAGGAAAGATCGCCTGAGAGGCGTGTCTTCTTGTGTCAGTCGTGCAGCCCTGAGCTGCTACTGCCACTCAAATCCAACTGGAAAACAGGAACTCTCATGTTCCTCTCAAACTCTGTCGTTGGAGCGTTCTCGAAAACGCCCTGGAGGCGGGTTCCAACAACCCCCTGGCGAACAAGCGCGGAGTCAGACTTGAAGGTGGCTCCAATCCAAATGCAAGCCGTTCTCCGATTGGCAACCCTGTTGGCCCTGCGCTTCTGGCCATATGACCCATGGGCAAAGAAGCAAAGAAGCCATGGCTGGGAAAAGTCGGGCCCCTCTCGTTTTGTGGGAAATGTCGAGCCCGTCCCCCTTCTTGTCCCTCCCAAACGCACCATAGCCAAGCTGGATATCTGGACCTGGCTGCTGGGCTTAGGTCTTGGGTTCGGACCGGCGGCTCCTGCCTGAGCCTTGCGCTCCATCAGCCCCTGTGCGCATTCGGCGTTGCTTTACCCGTGTCCCACAAGGTTCATGTCCCAAGACTTTGCCTTAGCTGACCAACTAAACGGATTCAGAACTGACCTTTACGGAGTGAACACTGCGAATTGGTTGGGCTTCTGAACGGGTGCCTTTTGACTTGGCTCCTTTGTGAGGCTGCACGGAAGGGACAGATTGCCAAAACCATGTCTGCGTTGGGGCCCAGGTGCCCGGGCAGCGGAGAGTGCGACGGAGGCGGCGGAGGCGACTGGCCCCTCAGGCCGAGGAAATGGAACAAACAAGTGCGTCCTGCTTCTTTTTGGTCTCCCTTTAACATCAGCCCGAAAAACGGACAACCCCAAAATGGAATTTCATGGTCACACGCTTCCCCCGATTCGATTTGGGGGGCGAGGATCCACCAAAGGCCAGCCAGCGGCCCAAGGTTTCGCATAAGGCCGGGGCTGCTGCTGCTGCGGCACTTGCCTTGGGCCCGACAATACACCCAGGCTGCCTCTGGTTCGGGCCACAAAGCGAATATCCGCACCTATCCATGGCTGGGAGTGTTCCCCTACTAGATGTTGACTTGATACATGTCAATCATTTGCAACACAATTGGAGGTCCTTGATGGTCCTGGAGAGGAGGGTGGGGATGAAGACAGGTCTCCATGCGGATATGCAACTAACGAAATGGGTGGTTGGCCTGTTTTTCTCTTTAAACTACCCAAAAAAAGGGTACCCACCTGTATGACACATATTATGTTCGATGCTTTTGAAGTGTCATTAAGGCATGCTAATGTGCAATTTGAGGAAGGAATTAAAATTGACGTTGCTAATGCCTGCGTTGACACTGCCCCAGAAACTGCTTTTTTGATGAAGCCTCCTTGACGGCAAGATTTGTGCAATAGATCCATGCCACTTGCAGAGCATTGCTTAGAAAACTCGTAGCATTCATGCAACGCTCGTGGAAATGAGGAGCTGTCTCGCTGTAGTCACACTGTAGTCCCTTCAGGTTTGGGCAAGCTGGTGGTATTGTTATTTTAAAAAAGGACCTTTGCATGTTGTGCAACTTTAGCGGTTGCGCATGCAAAGGTATCGCTGCGGTTTCCTTTGAAACCACTCAAAAAGCACACACGTGCGTTGAAAAGCAAGCCCACGCCTTGCCTCGAGCCCAACATGCCAACAGCTTTCCCGCAGCCACTCCGAAAATGGAGGCAAGCTTCGCAAAAAGTATTTTGCCTGCAGATTTCCCTTCAACATCCGAAAAGATGTCCCTAATCTTGGGAAGAATGTCGGGTTCTTCCTTTGGCAACCAGGCCCCGTCACCCCTGGCGAAGCCTTCTAGGAGGCCAGTTGACACTGCCTGTTTTCGTGGGATTGAGGAATCCAACCCCCTTTGGGCTTTCAAGGGAACCTAAAGCAGACCGTCCATTTCGGGGGGTCCGCTTTTGGAAGGCCAAACCCACTTGGCCAAGCTTCGGCAGCTGCGTCGGCGGAGGCGGCTGCAGCTTTTGCTGCAGCTGACCTCGACTGGAGCACAGCTCTGTGATGCCACGTGAAAACCTCCCGCCCGGCCCCTACAGGAAAAAGAGGTAGCTATGAAGAGCTTATTCAATAAAATGTTGACGTTTGGAGTACATGTTCCAAGCCTATCGTGCTCCAGAATGTCTCACGCCATGTCTCACATCCAGCGCCAAGCTGCGCTGCTGATGTTGCACCTGCGGCAGCGCCACAGACCCGCCACTTGGCCCAGACTTCGCACTTATCCGCCGTTGAAGCAGGGCTTGTGGGTTTAATTCCCCCCAAAAACATGTGGACAACTTCCTGCATGGGGTCGCCCTGAAAAGCTGCACCCGCTTGGGCCTGTTGGACAAAGAAATCATCCGGCTGCAGCCTGGCGCGGCGAATTCTTCGACTCGCCCGGGTGGAATTGGGCCCTAGCACCCGGCTGCTGGGCTTGTGCGGAGAATTTGGGATCCGCCATATCCTTCTCCCCAAGTCAACCACCAAAAGGATGGCGGATGAGCCGATCAGGTCGAAAGCTGTCTTGGAATCCAATACTCTCACACCCAAAACGGTCACCCCCCCTGCATTTGGATGCAAAAAATGGTTTTGGGAAGTCTCGTGAACTTCACTCATTCATGCTGTCCATGAGGTACGCAGGACCGATTGAAACTTGAGGCTGCGGCTGCATATGGGACTGCTGCATGGGATGCTGTTGCCTGCGACAAATCCGAGGTAACAAAGCCCACCCTCAAGGCCCGGACGGTTCCATTCTTGGTGGCGGCTTCAAACCACCCCCCCCCCCATTTTGAGGGCCTCCGATTCTTGGGACACCTTAAAGGCCGGGACTGGAATATCCCGGGGTTGCAGTTGCCTGGTATCACAGTGGGTATGAGGTTCAATTGCTGACCCTTTCGCAAGCATCATGTACGTGGAATTATGTCCTCCAACCTCCTTGGAAAGAATCCAAATAGAAGAGTCCCCTGCTCCCATCTGCCCCCCTAGCAGTGGATGGTGGAACTTAGACCAGCCACTCATGTTCGTCTTCAGTTCAAAGGAGAATCAAATTTGACCGGGAAAAGTCAAAAGAGTCAAAACAGTTAAAACATCAAGGCCAAACATGGCGGGTGGACTGTTGGTCGGCGGGAGCAGCCAACGACTAACAGTTGTTCAGAGCTTCCCTTGGCACTCAAACAGTCTTAACTACTCCACTGCAAAATAACGTAGAACCCAACAAGAACAAGGGGCTTTCCCACCCGCACAGTCCGAGGCTGCTGCATGCCATAGTCATGGGCTGCCGCATCCTGCCGAGGCGGGCACCATGTGTTTCTTCAGCAAAATGGGTGTCAAAGCGCGGGGGGGACCCGAGTTGGTGTATAGGGGAACAAAAGGCAGCCCGTGGCCGTGCTCAGAGAGCTAAATGTGGATGCTGAGGAAAAGAACGGAACAAGATATATTTAGTGCGAGTGTGTGTGTGTATCTCAAAATGTGGCGACGCCCGAAATTGTTTTCCTAGAGCCCCTTGAAAACTAACGGAAACGGTTGGCTTTCCCGAAAGGACACGGCAACATTGTTCCTCGTAGTTCTCCCAGCAGTAGCCAGCCGCAGCCTGGTAGCCGCAAGCGCCAGACCACTCGAGTGGAGTCTGGCTTGACTCCCGCAGATGTCAGGTTGACCCAGACTTCAATACCTGTAGGACTAGTGTAGGTGACTTTTAGATAATGTGACAGGCCCCTCTAACATCCCCTAAGAAACTCAACCTGGAGTTCTTCGATCCTGGGTCAACACAGCATCGCTGGTGTCCAGGAGCCACTTGAGCAGTGCAGCCAAGTTGCCATTTGCTGATTGAAGCTTTGCATGTCCTGCATCTGCCAAGCTGACCTTAGAAATGCTTCTCAAGCTTGCAAGTCGGGGCTTGGACAGCAAGGGCACATGACACTAAGATTTGCAAAATCAAGCAACTGGCTTCTGGTCCTTCCCAGTGCAAATGATGCCCTTGGAAGGCTCTACCAACACTTGAGCAGAACGCTGCACCTTGGGTGGGCCTTTCAAGAAGCCGAGTGGAGGCTGAATCTCCTGACAGCTGGGGTCTCTGCATCTGCATTTGCTCTTCCAGCTGCCGTTGCCTTTGCAACCTAAGGACGCATCTGGATCCACACAGGTCCGCAACTTGCCCCCTTTACGGCACCTGGAAAAAATGGTTGACCTTTTGGGGCCTCACTAAAGGCATTAAAAGGTGGGTTTTGAACAACTGGGGCAAGCGAAACCTCCAGGGCATGGCTCTGAAAATCGCGCACCCATCCCAATGTCACTCCCCAACCCCCTCCACACCGGACACTCCAAGGGCTCAACTC